GGGGGGGGGGGGGAGAGAGAGAATGGCCTCAAGTTGCAGCAGGGTAAGTTTAGGTTGGATATCAGGAACAACTGCTTTGTGGAAGCGTTGTGAAGCACTGCAGTGGGCTGCCATGCCTGAGTCACCATCCTGGGTGTGTTTGAAAGCTGTTGGGACGTGCTGCTCAGGGCCGTGATGGAGCGGAGGGTCGTTAATTAGGGCAGGATGGGTGGGTTGTGGTTGGACTCAATCATCTCTGAGATCTTTTCCAACCTGAGCAGTTCTGTGGTTCTGTGATTCTGTGTTGATTCTGTGATTCCATGACTCTATGATTCTGTAATTCTGTGATTTCGTGATTCTATGATTCTATGATGATTCTGTGATTCTGTGATTCCGTGATTCTATGATTCTGTGATTTCTATGATTCTGTGATTCTATGATTCTATCATGATTCTATGATTCTGTGATTCTGTGATTCTACATTTCTACATTTCTATGATGATTCTGTGATTCGATGATTCTGTGATTCTATGATTCTGTGATTCCGTGATTCTGTGATTCCGTGATTCTGTGATTCTACATTTCTATGATTCTATGATGACTCCATGATTCTACAAATCTGTGATTCTATGATTCTATGATGACTCTATGATTCTACAAATCTGTGATTCTACAATTCTATGATTCTATGATTCTGTGATTCCGTGATTCTGTGATTTCTATGATTGTAAGATTCTATGATGATTCTATGATTCTATGAATCTGTGATTCTGTGATTTTATGATTCTATGATGATTCTATGAGTCTACGAATCTGTGATTCTATGAATCTGTGATTCTACGGTTCTACGGTTCTATGATTCTGTGATTCCGTGATTCTATGATTCTATGATTCTATGATGATTCTATGATTCTATGAATCTGTGATTCTATGATTCTGTGATTCTATGATGATTCTATGATTCTACGATCCTTTGATTCTGTGTTTCTATGATTCTGTGATTTCTATGATTTTACAATTCTATGATGATTCTATGATTCTATGAATCTGTGATTCTATGATTCTGTGATTCTACAATTTTATGATTCTGCGATTCTATGATTCTGTAATTCTATGATTCTATGATTCTGTGATTCTGTGATGATTCTGTGATTCTACAAATCTGTGATTCTGCGATTCTATGATTCTATAATTCTATGATTCTATGATTCTGCAATTCTACGATTCTGTAATTCTATAATTCTGTGATTCTATGATTCTATCCATCGCTGACTGCTCAGCAATCAGCACCAGGTGATGCTCAGCAAAGCCCAGCCCCCAGCAGAAGTGCAGTTCTGTGCACGCAGCCCCCCTGAGCCGCTCCACCAGCCCCCACCCCACCCCCAATTCCCACCCTTCCATCCCAATGGATGTTGTTGGAGTTCAGGCCAGGCTCCGGGCAAAATCCGCTCTTTCGCTTTCGCTCTGCCTCACCTCCTGCTCCTTGGATGGGAGGAGAACGGGTCGAGGCCAAAGAGTACAGATTGGAAGGGGTCAAAGTCACTGCTGACTTGGGAGCAAATAGAGAAGAGCCAGAAAAGGAGCTGCTGCTTTGCTTGGAGAAATGAAGCAGGGCGAAACGGAGCCTCGCCGCCCCCACTGCGGGCCGGGATGGAGATGGAGGAGCCCATCTGCCTCGTTGAGAACCACACAGGGCAGGGGCTGGCGGTGCGGCAGGACGCCCTGCAGGTGTTGGCCAACATCACACAGCCCGTGGTGGTGGTGGCCATCACCGCGCTGTGCCGCAGCGGCAAATCCTACCTGATGAACCGGCTGGCCGGGAGGAGGACGGGTGAGGGAAAGGGGGGGGAGGGGGGAGGATGGACCCTGTGTGCCCCCATGTTGGGATTCTTATCCTCTGTTGACCAATGGTTGACCAGTAGTGGACCAATGGATGACCAGTAGTGGACAAGTGGTTGGCCAGTAGTGGACCAGTGGTTGACCAGCAGTTGACTGGTAGTTGACCAACAATTGACCAGTGGTTGACCAGTAGTTGATCAATGGTTGATTAGCAGTTGACCAGTAGTTGACCAATGGTTGACCAGTAGTTGATCAATAGTTGACCAGTAATTGACCAATGGTTGACCAATGGCTGACCAGTAGTGGACTAATGCTTGAACAGTGGTTGACCTACAGTTGACCAGTAGTTGATCAATGGATCACCAATGGTTGACCAGTAGTGGGCCAACGGTTGACCAGTAATGGACCAATGGTTGACCAGTAGTTGACCAATGGTTGACCAATGGTTGACCAGTAGTGGACTAATGCTTGAACAGTGGTTGACCTACAATTGACCAGTAGTTGATCAGTGGATGACCAATGGTTGACCAGTAGTGGACAAATGGATAACCCATGATTGACCAATGGTTGACCAACAGTTGACCAATGCTTGACCAGTAGTGGACCAGTGGTTGACCAACAGTTGACCAATGCTTGACCAGTAGTTGACAACCACGTCCCCCACGCAGGTTTCTCCCTGGGCTCCAGCGTGCAGGCGCACACCAAAGGAATCTGGATGTGGT